CAAGTCTGGGAAACCAGTAAAATATGGTCGACCAGTCCCTGATAACAGAGCCCAGAATGCAAAGACGAGTCAGGCCAGGTGGAGACAATCTCATTGGCCAAGCTCAACCACATGGCCTTCGCTAGTCTGTGAGACTGGGGGTCGTCGCTCTCTCCGTTAAGAGATGGCCCCGGACGGTGGGTTTGATTCTCCGTGCTGGCGCAAAATAAAGCTTGGCTTGACCTTAGCTTTGTATCAGTCTCGCTCCTTTGATCACAGACCCCATCAGACAGGACAAAGTCTAAATTTTTTAGCTTGCTACTACTGGTTTACCACTCATTTATTCATTCATTCCACTAACGTTTATTGAGCATCTGCTCCGTGTCAGGATCTGTTTAAATTCTGGAGATACGACAGAGATTAAAAGAGACAAAACTGGGGTGTCTGGGTGGCTCATTGGGTTAAGCATCTGCCTTCTGCTCAAGTCATGATCCCAGGGGCCGGGGGTCGAGCCCCACATCAGGTTCTGTGCTCAGTGGGGAGTCGGCTTCTCCCTCTTCCCTCTACCCCTCTCCCCGTGTGTGTGCTCCTTCTGCCAAATAAATAAATAAAATCTTTTAAAAATTAAATAGATAAATATAAAAATAAATAAATAATATACTAAATAATAATAATAAATAAATATAAATAAATAGAAGAGACAAAACTCCCCGATCTCATGCAGTCGATATTCTAAAAGGGAGACAAACTATAAGCAGACCAATAAAATATATAGTTTATCAGACAGAGGTAAATATTGTGGAGAAAAATAAAGTAAGGGAAGGAGCGAGGAATACGGGGGGGATTTAGACTTTTAAGTAGAGGAGGGAAGGCCTTCCTGAGAGGGTGACTTCAGAGCAAAACCTTGACGGAAGTACGGGAGGTAGCGTGGTTACCTGCAGGCACGTGGAAAGCAAAGACTCTGAGGCACAAGCCAATGGCAAGTTTGAAGAAGAGCAAGGAGGCAGTGTGGCTGAGGCTGAGTAAGGGCAAAGTAGTAAAAAATACGGTCAGAGCGGTCGGTGGGGGCAGGTTAGGCGGGGCCCTGAGGACTGAGGCAGACCCATTGGAGAGCTCCAAGCAGAGCCCCCCACCCGGCCCCAAAGCTGCTGGGTTGAGAAAAAAAACGCAGGAGAGGGGGCAGGGATGGAGATCCATTTGGATTGGACCCTCAGAACTTCTTCTCTTGATGTTCACAAATCAACAGTGGCATTTCCGTGCTGCTCCGCACCCCTCCTGTGCTCTTTGTCACCTCCAACTTCGCTCATGCCCCCCCCCTCGCCAACTCACCTAAATCGTATCCTTTCCTCCAACCGCAAAGCAAACGTCTTGCTTCTTTGAGAGGACTAAGGAAGGGCTTTGCAAAGTCAGAGGAAGAGGTTATTAGCCCTGAAAAGAATGCCCCAGTTCGCTGTTGGTTATTAACGTGGGAAAAGACATCCAGAGGAAAACTTCCCAAGGCGTCCAGAAGGTGCGGAGCTTACAAAATAGACCGAGATATTGTCCTGCTCATATAATTCATAAAGCAGTACAAGGAGCTTGTTTGTGGCATTCATTGAATTAATCTTTTTTTTTTTTTAAGATTTTTGTCAGAGAGAGAGAGAGAGAGTGTGTGTGTGTGTGCGTGTGTGTGTGCACGTGCACACACACACACAGGGGGAGGGGCAGAGGGAGAAGCAGGCACCCCGCTGAGCACAGAACCTGGGCTCAGTCCCCCCGGACCTTGGGATCATGACCTGAGCGGAAGGCAGACACTTAACTGACTTAGCCGCTCAGATTTCCCTCACTGAATTAATCTTAATATTGAATTTCTTTCTTTGGGTTATTCTATTGCTGTTTTTTTAAACCTCTTGTGATCTTTTCTCAAACAGGATCTTCAACAGGAAGTCAGGGAGGCACTGGCTCATTTTGTGTTGCTTTTCTTCGGAGGAGTCCATGTGTTGCTATGCTTTCTCTGGAACAAACACTCGATGTAAGAAGAATGTACCTGCCAACTTCTGCTTTCCTCTGAGAAACCGAGAATCCTCCTGGAACAGAAGGAAGAAGACCCTTCCTCTCCCTTTCTTTTTACCCGTCACAGTTGGTTCACGCCTGGTTTGTTGGAGAATGGCCGACTCACTGGGTGTCTGTGCAGAGAGACCCGCTATGAGATGTTTGTGATGCCTCCCGGGAAAGCCCAAGGAGGCCGTGCCACTTAGAAAACACCAGTGCCGTGGATGGCCCCAGGGCTCCTTGTAAGGAAATCTTAAGCATTTTCTTCTGTGAGTGAAACTGAATCTCATCCTCAAAGCAGAGGACACAGAAATGGGTGCTTTCTCCTGGCCCTTCCCAGGGTACCGGGCCCTCCTGCCACCTGTTGGCCCTACCCTTGTTGCCTGTGTCCACATCTGCAGGACCCTGTTCTTTTACTTCTCTGTCTACCTCATCAACCCTCCCCCTTTTTGAAGTATTATAAGTATTAAGAAAGTTATAAACTAGAAGTTCTATATATACATTGTGAGTTCTTTGTAGGAAGAGTGTTATTTAAAAATTAATAATTTTAAAAATGAAACAAATATTGTTATTTTTTGAGCATGAAACACCTGTGTGTATTTCTTTTTTTTTTTTTTTAATTTTATTTATTTATTTATTTATTTGAGAGAGAGAAAGAGAGAGAGAGCAGGGGAAGGGGCACAGGGAGCAGAGGGGGACGGAAGACTGACAAGCAGACTCTTTTCTGAGTGCAGAGTAGACAAGGGGTTCAATCTCACGACCCTGAGATCATGGCCTGAGCCAAAATCAAGAGCCAGTCGCCTAACCAGATGTGCCACCCAGTTGCCCCAACACCTGTCATAGTTCTTTGTGAAGGAGGGATTCCACTTATTCCTGCTCACATGGGTTCAAAAGTTTGTAGACTTTGATCATATGAGCATCACCTCTGTCCTTCCAAAGGGAAATGTCCTCATTTTTTCAGTTTGTCTCAGGCAGTGCCTATACAGTTCCATCATTATCTAAGTTTTGGCTTGTTGGCATGGAACGGATGCTAAAAATATCTTATTTTACTCTTTTGATGGGCATTAATCAAAACAACATTAAAAAGTTTCCAATGAAAACTCCTGCTCTTATTTTCTATCCTGAATCCCCTTTATGTCTAGAAGCTTGCTACATATCCCTTCAGACCTTTTTATATATATATTAAATAAATACATATATATGTATATACATATATATATACACACACATTTACACACAAAAGGTAGCATGTGGTACACATTGTTCTGTCTGTACCATGATTTTTTTGCTTTGCATAGTGATCAGGCACTATTCTAGTTGTCTTACAAATGTTAACTCATTTACTCCTCATAGCAACCTTATGGGACAGGTATTATTATTAGCTCGGATTTACTGGGGTTTTTTTAAAGATTTTATTTATTTATTTGACACACAGGAAGAGAGAGAGAGAGAGCACAAGCAGGGGGAGCAGCAGGCAGAGAGAGCGAGAGATGCTGACTCCCCACTGAGCAGGGAACCCAATGCAGGACTTGATCCCAGGATCCTGGGATCATGACCTCAGCCAAAGGCAGACACTTAACTGCTTGAGCCACCCAGGTGCCCCACTCTCTTTTACTATTAAGGAAACAGACACAGTTAGTGGAGAGAGGCTATAGAGAGGTTAGCTAATTTATCTAAGGGCACATAACCAGGAAGTGACATAGCTGCAATTCCAAGACAGCCAGGCTGTCCTTGAGTCTAGGTTCTTTTTGTTCCCATTTTTTAAAGGATTCATTTATTTAGTTGGGGGGAGGCACAGCAAGAGAGGGAGAGAGAATCTACAGACGACTCTGAGCTGAGCATGGAGCCTGAAGTGGTGGATCTCACTACCCTGAGATCACGACCTGAGCAGAAAGGAAGAATTGAACACTTAACTGAGCCCCCCAGGGGCCCCAGAGTCTAGGTTCTTAACTGCTATGCTATACTGCCCCTTGGAGAGCTTGCCATCATCATGGCGTTCTGTTAAATGGATCTACCATAATCTATTCCATCAGCCCCTTTTGATAGATGCCCGGATTGCTTCTAATGAGTCATTATCATAAGCCAAGCTGGAATAAGTAACACGTACGTTTTGGATATGTGCAGGTCGATTTATTGAATACATTCCTGGTAGTGGGATTGCTGGGTGAAGGGATGTGCATTTATAACTTTTGCCAGATCTCACCTTACTGCCTTCCGTGGGGTTGCCGAGTGTCCTCTGTTCCCCTCAGCCTCTCCAGCAGATTAAGTTAGTAAACGTATGAATTTCCGCCAAAAAACGGGCAAAAAACAATTGATATCTCAAAAACTTTAATTTGCATATCTTTTATAAGCACATCTTTTATAAGGAGCGTCTTCTATGTTCCCGGGCCATTCAACACTTTATGTGGACTGCCTATTCATAACCTTTGCTCATTTTCTATTGGGTTTCTGGCCCTGTTCTTAACTAGTTTTCAGGAGCCGGTGCTACATCAGTGCTGAGCCCTCTTTGTAACACCATCTATAGCTTCGGAGTTTCTGCAGAAGGTTCAGGTTTCCTTCTTTTGTGCTGGTGTGGTGGCTTGTCTGGAGTGGCCAGAGGCCTGGGAAAAGGTTCTAGCCAGGATCCACAGGGTACTAGGGTCGGGAGTCAGGAGGAGTAGCACAGCCGCTCTGACAGTGGGGCGCTGCTGGGATGGTAATGCGTCCAAAGGGCCCAACGGCAGGCCGGGCTGGGGTCAGGGCCAGGAAGGGGAGAGGCACCTGGTCCAGGCGGACAACCTAAGAGGTCCCCTCCCATCCAAATGCGGAGACACACAAGAATGACATGAAGTTGGTCTGTTGCTGTCCTGACCTAAGGACCAAGGGTTCCCTGGTCTCCCCAGATTCCACAGAATCTCACCTACGTGCGCCTGGGAGCCAGGGCCAGGCTGCCGGAGGGGCCGTCCTCTAGCGGGAGGCTGCGAGCGGGACCGACGCCTCCTGGCTGGCGAGCCGAGAGTCCCCGCCGCTGCGCTCCCGCAGGGCCCGGCGCCTGCCCTCCCCGGAGCCGGCCAGGGCGGGAGTGGAAGCCGGATCCCGCTCTTTCGTTTTCGTTTCCCGGAAGGATAGCGATTACCGGAGCGCTCTGAGACCTTCCTGGCCCGGGAAACCCGAGGGCACTTCTCGAAAGAGATTTCCTCCTACGCGACCTTCCAGTTTTGGGGACCCAGTTACGGGGCGAGGGAAGGAGGGGCTCAACGCGCTGAGCAGCCGCGGCCAAGGGAGCGCTCACGACTGACGGCGGGGAGCTGTCTCACCTCCACCTGTAATGCAGGTAAGAGCCTGGCGGAGGAACCCCGCCGGGCGCACTCGAAGCCCTCCCCGCCCCTCCCCCCAGTCCCTCCTCCACCACCTCTGTTTCTGTACTCATGTTATCAGAACTTTTTTCCTGACTGGAATCTCACTTTCAAACGCATTCCCAAACCTCACCATCCATCCTTCACCAGCCCTCTCTTCTCACTCACCTCCGGCCTCACTGTCTCTCTTCCGACGCTCCCTCTACCCTCTCCCCCCACCCCTCGCCGGGTGTTATATACTGCTCCTCCTTACCTCCTCCTTACCTCCTCCTCACCCCTACCATCATCCAGTTGTGACGTCCCTGGAAGTTCCTGCGCAAACCAGACTCGGACCGCTGGCAAATGCCACCACAGAGGGGCCCCCACTTCTTAGAATTCCTTCTCCATTTGCCATATTTCCCCAGCAGACTCAGAACCGCCCCAGAGCAGGGACCCCTTCCCACCTCCAATCCAAATCCATATTTTTATCAGACCTCGCCCTGGCTTTCATGCTGAAGCCCAGAGCTCTCTCAGTAGCTCCCGGGCTGGCATTTCCCAGGCAGTGAAAAGCCCGGAATTGGCCGGTCATCATGCTTGGAAGAGGGTAGAAGGGTCCACAAGGGGCTTCCTGCTAGTGTGAAACCTTAGACTCTTCTCCGACTGGGCATGCGCTGCTCTCAGGCGGCAGCCTCTGAAGCTGGGTTACCTGGGATACAGCATTGGGGGAGGTGGTGTAGTGGGGGTCAGCCAGAAACATGGTGAGAACTACCCCAAAAGATGTTAAATCCTCCTCTGTTTTGTGGTTCCAGACCCCCAGTCTTTCACTGTAGGCTGCAGTCCTAGGACATCGGGAGATTAATGTAATTCTCTTGAAGATTCTAGTTTGAGAAAATGACTTGCTGGGACTGGTTTCACTTTTACTTTTCACGGGCTGGCACCTGTGGCTGGGCATAAGCCCCAAGGTTACTCCTGTCACTTTTTTCATCCCTCCGTCCTGAAGCATGAACCATATCCTCTCTGAGGCTAAGCTGGTGGTAAAATTGTAAAGATACAGGCTTCCCTTGGTGGGACCTTGGGATTCAGAAATGTACCCTTCCTTTTTCTCCCTTGAAAACAGCATTTACTTGTTGGTTTATTTATTTCTGACTTAAGGTCTCTGTATCCTGGCCCTCAGGTTCCTTGTGTCCTCTCACCAAGGTCCTAGTGACTATTCCTAGGCTCTTGAGTTTCCAGCTTACAAGTCAAATCTTGGCAGGGAGCCTTCTGTGGGGTGAGGCATGTGCGTGAAGAACTTGAATCAGAAAAATGAAATTTATCATGTGTCCACTCTGTACAAAATGTTGAAGTTACCAATCTGAAGACATACATGGTTTCTACCTTGAAATTTTTAAAAATTTCTTCGTTATTTATTTATTTATTTGAGAGAGAGAGAGAGAGAGAGAGAGAGGGAGCATGAGCACAGGGGAGAGAAACAGAGGGAGAGGGAGAAGCTGACTACCCGCTGAGCAGGGAGCCCTACATGGGACTCGATCCCAGGACCTGGCATCATGACCTGACCCAAAGGCAGTCACTTAACTGTCTGAGCCACCCAGGTGCCCCCACCTGGTTCCTACCTTTAAGATAGATGCAGAGATGGATGCTCTTTCCCTTTAAGAAAAATTCTTAATACATTTAAGGATGACCGAGCCTTCACTGAGAAGGCTTGTTTTTGACTGCCCTGGTTTTTCCTCTTTCTAGGAGGGAGCACTGGCCAGCTCTTCCGTGAGGCCGGAGGCAGCCACACCACCACCGGGCACCCAGGCCAGATGTGAAGCTAGAATGAACTTGCTGGGTGAAGGGGGAATCTGCAAGCTACCAGGAAGACTCCGTGAGTAGAGAGGAGGAAAAAGGCTGATGTTTTCATTTTTTTTTTTTAAGATTTATTTATTTATTTATTTATTTGAGAGAGAGAGAGCAGAGGAGGGAAAGGGCAGAAGGATAGGGGAGAGAGAGAATCTCAAGCAGTCTCACGGCCCACTGAGTGTGGAGCCCTATGACTTGGGGCTGGATCTCATGACCTTGAGATCACGACTTGAGCCGAAATCAAGAGTCTGACGCTTAACACACTAATCCCCCCAGGCGGCCCAGACTGATGTTTTTAAAGGACATAAATGTGACCCATGAACTTCTTACCTGAGGAACTACCTTCCCTCCATCTCCTATTGCTTTGCTGGGTTTTCTTTAACTTTTCATTGATGAGGAAATCAGAAGAGGGAAACATGAACGCTCACAGTGAGGAATGTGGTTACCATGGCCAAGGGTGAGGGCAGGGCAGGCAGTCTCCTCATTAGTAAGATGAGGGTTGGGATCAAATGAGCTATGGGATCTCTTCCAATCTAAAGACAAGGAGTTGGGGACACTCCTTCCAATGAGGTAGTCAGATGGAGTTAAACAGTGAACAAAAATTCTATGTGTGTAGAACTCTCTTTTAAATAATTATGTTTAACTGTTATTGCTTCAAAAGTTGCATATGTGTATTGTCAAAAATTGGCAAGTGGTGGGGAAGCATAGGAATACGTAGAACAGGAAGTCTGGGTGGCTCAGTCAGTTGAGCATCTGCCTTTGGATTAAGTCATGATCCCAGGGTCCTAGGATCGAGTCCCGCATGGGGTTCCCTGCTCAACGGGAAGCCTGCTTCTCCCTCTCCCTCTGCCAGCTGCTCACTCTGCTTGTGCTCTCTCCTTCTCTGTCAAATAAATAAATAAAATCTTTAAAAAAAAAAAAAAGGAATATGTAGAACAATCAAATCAACCCAAAGAGCACCACAAGAAACTGACTGGCCATATCTTTTTATTTCATTTTCCTAAGTTATGTTCTTGCCTGAGAAAGCTCATAACCAGAGAACAGGCCATAGATTCATGTATTTATGCCTATGTTTCAACTGCCAGAGCTGAGAGGTGGGAGAGCTAAGGCTCAAGAGCACGTGGGTCTCCATGCTAAGACCAAACCTTGGTCCTGCTGATAGTCTTCTAAGAGAGTTTTCAACATACTTCCTAAGCCACGGGAATCATGGGCTAGGCAGCAAGCTGCCTGCCAGTGGGAGGTCTTAATATGGGTGGGGGTCTTGGGGCAGCGTAGGCAGGTACCTGTGATCTGGGCTGGGAAGCATCCAGGCCACTTCTTGCTAGGCTCACCCAGTGGCTGGAACACTGCCTAATTGATTTCACATCCTTCTGATATCCTGGCCTTGACCTTCTTTTTCAGCCACCAACTGGGTTGATCAGAATGTTGGGTATGACTTCATAGGCCTTGGGAAGACCAGGTTGCCGCCAAATGCCCCTGCCTCTCCTCTCCATAGCCTAGCATTCTTTTAATGAGGAACAGAGCCTGTGGGAAGATGGGGACTCATGGATATGAGAAAGCCACAGAGCATGAAGGAGGCCCTCATGCCTCAGAACTGTGGTGGAGGGAAGTAGCTGTGGGATCTAGGGAGAGGAGCAAGGAGCTCTACAAAGAACCTCTGTTGCTTTGTTTTGTCCAAATGCCAAGCCTGACTGGTAGCTTGAGGCTCAGGGATGTTCCAAGAAGATATTTGGCAATGGTTACATCAGTAGGAGGGTAGGATTTGGGCTCTGTTTCCAACCCAAGCCACGGTGATGAGGGAAAATGGGACTTTGGGGCTGGACCTAAAGACCCTGGGTGTTACTGCTGAGAAGGACATTTGATGTCATCTTATGGCAGCTGAGGACACCGATTCTCAGAGAGGGACAGAATTCTTTGCAGGTCTCACAAGGCCCTCCAGATTACCTCCTATGGCCTCCCCTATATTCAAAGTCTACTTCCATAATTGTCACACCTAGTCCTAGGATGTCAACACTGATAGAGACCCTAGATGCTGCCTCAGGTAATTCACTCATATTCCAAATAAGGAAATTGAGGGCCAGAAGATTGTGTTCTGCCCAGGTCAGTGACCTCCCTGCCACTGGGTGCCTAGCTCAAGGTTACTGGGCAAGAGGGTACAGGAGGAGGAGTGGGGATTTAGAAAATGTAGTCATCACCTTGGTAAATACAATTATGCCAGCCTTTTAATTTTTTGAAGCCCCCTTTGATGGGGCCCCTCTGAGATGGTTACCAGGCCCTCCTGACCATTTCTAGTGACAAGAACTTCCTCTCCTCTTCAGCCAGTTGGTTCCCTGGTTACTCAGTTCCGGGAGCAGGGTCATGTGATCTATTTAGAACTCCTTAGGTACTAATCCTATTGCCTTTGATTAGATTTCTCCAGAAGCAGACCCTGAAATACTTCCCCATAGAAGAGAGAAGGAAATCTAATTTAAATTTGAATTGTAAGGGCGCATGGGTGACTCAGTGGGTTGTGTCTGACTCTCGGTTTCAGCTCAGGTCATGATCTCGGGGTTGTGGGATCTCTGCCCTGTGTTGGGCTCTATGCTCAGTGCAGAGTCTGCCTGGGACTCTCTTCACTTGCACGCAGGTTCTCAATAAATAACTAAATAATAAATAAATAAATAAAATCTTTTTTTTTTAAGATTTTATTTATTTATTTGACAGACAGAGATCACAAGTAGGCAGAGAGGCAGGTAGAGAGAGGGGGAAGCAGGCTCCCCACTGAGCAGAGAGCCCGATGCAGGACTCGATCCCAGGCCCCTGGGATCATGACCTGAGCCGAAGGCAGAGGCTTTAACCCACTGAGCCACCCAGGTGCCCCTAAAATCTTTTTAAAATCTTTTAAATGGTCCCAGTGGGGACCTCTGGGGGGCAGTGAGAGTACACCCTGAGTCCTCCCAGCCCCAGGGTAAGGAAGCAGGTTCTTCATCCACCCTGGGGTGAGGCTGCTTCCATTGACTCCACTGCAAATTGAGAAGACCCCACCTTTGGGGAGAAGGTGAGCCAACCCAGCCAGGGCTTGTCTTGGCTTCATTCCCACTTTCCCATTCCTCTCCAGCTTTCCACGTCGCCCTTTGCATTAGCTAAGTCAGGTGCAAAGTCAGGGACTGACATTTGGCATTTGGCGGCCCTTCTAGTAGACTTCTCTACTCACAGAGTAGAGGTGAAAGCCAAGGACCATGGGCATGCCCAAGTAGCATTTTCTATGCTTCTCATCTTAGGTTTCATGAGTCATATTTACTTCTGAAAATATTCAGGCAACCCAGTTCTGGCCCTTAGTAAATACCTAAAAGTCTTAAAAGATAGGGTATACGAAATGACTCATTTTCCTCTCAACAACATCCCAAATAAGCAAACTGCTGACACCTAATGAAGGGTTGACCTTTCAGATGGCTGGGGTGATGTCATTCCTATTTCTTGAAATCGGGTTTCCACTGCTGGGCATCTCGTTGACATTTATCCTCAGTTACCCATCCCATTCCCTCCTCCACCTCTGGCTTCTCTTCTAATCATCAGGGTGATTTGCCTCAGCAGGAAGGTGAACCAACAAAACAAATTTTTTTTTTCTTCAGTAGCAATGTTTACTCATCTAAACCTCACATTCTTTTTTTTTTAATTTTTAATTTTTTATTAACATATAGTGTATTATTAGCACCAGGGGTACAGGTCTCTGAATGGCCAGTTACACACTTCATAGCACTCACCATAGCACATACACTCCCCACAGTCCACAACCCAACCACCCTCTCCCTATCCCCCACCCCCCACCGCAACCCTCAGTTTGTTTTGTTAGATCAAGAGTCTCTTATAGTTGTCTCCCTCCCAATCCCATCTTGTTTCATTTTTAACTTCCCTACCCCCCAAGCCCAAGCCCCCACGTTGCCTCTCAAATTCCTCATATCAGGGAGATCATATGATAATTGTCTTTCTCGGATTGACTTATTTCACTCAGCATAATACACTCTAGTTCCATCCACATCATCACAAATGGCAAGATTTCATTTCTCCAACAAAACAAATCTTGCTTATAGCTTTGTGAGCTGGCAATGAGGGGAACACACCAACAATTTCCCTGTAGAGCTTACATTTCCGTGTTTATTTGCCTGACAAACAAAGATGTGCATTAGAGTAGTTCACAGTTCCCTCTGAGGATGACTGTCCAGTCACAGGACGTGGGCTGGGACGGAGGGGCTGGATCCATGAGGCTCCAGCACAGTGCTCTGCACTCACAAGGAGACTCACAATGATGTCTTCTTCTCTGGAGGTGGAGAGCGGAAGAGGATTCACACGGCCCCTCCCCCTAGTCTGCATCCTGGAGGGTTTTCCCAAGCCCAGGATGAGTCAGGAGCTATGAAGGCAGTCCAGCCCCTGGGACCCCTTGCAGGAGCCGGGCTGAGGTCCCCCAGGGAGGGAGTCTGGGAGGAGATGATGCAACCTCTTGGGACAGCTCAGGGGCTTTTGAGAAGAGGCAGTTTAGAGCTGTCACCAGCATGGCCGCATTTGATGACAGAGACACTGAGACTCCACATGAGAAAGTCATCTGTGCGGCTGATGGCCAGAGGGGCCTCACACCCAGAGCTTAGTTCTTGGTCCTGACTCTGCATTTTCCTGGAGCTCATTCCCTGGCCCAAAAACAAAACAAAACAAAAAAAACCCTCTTGAACTTGAACTTGCCACCATTGGATACAGAGGAACCCGTGTCTCCGCCTTTTGAAATTGATTTTCAAAGCTCCTAGGTGTGAATAAGCCATGTGAAGAGACCATAAAGTGCCACCTGCAATTTTCAGATGTCATGGGCAGAAGGATGACACCTCTCAGCAACTCCCTGGCCATGTCAACAAGGGAAAAGGCCCTTGGTGGAATTCCAACAGATGAACTTGCTGCTCAAGTTCACCCCCTTCACCTACAGAGAGTCCTCTGGCACTTTATCTTCCCGTGTACACAGGTCTCTTGGGAGGCTTATTGACGTGCAGGTTCTGATTCAGT